ACAAGTCTGCGAGGAAAGACATGTGCACACCTGCTGACATTAGTTTTACCGCTAGAACTGTACCTACTAAAATTGAGGAATTGTGGCATCGACGACTTGGTCATCCTTCTAGTGATGTGCTAAAACAAATTACTAAAGAATTTGATGTAACAGTTGTTGCTGATATTAATAAAACATGCATTGTCTGCCATATGGGCAAAAGCCACAAATTACCATTTGTTTAGTCAAGTACAATATATGATACTCCTTTTCAACTTATTTTTATTGACTTATGGGGACCTCCTCATGTTTTATCCAATGGATTCAAGTTTTATGTATCATTTGTCGATGCATATACTCGGCATACATGGGTTTACATGCTAAAATTCAAGTCTCGGGCCACTGAAGCTTTCTTGTTATTTCAAAGAATGGTGTCAACCCAATTTAATGCTTCCATTAAAGCTGTCTAGAGTGATAAGGGTGGAGAGTTTCACAGTCTCTCACCCCAACTAACCAAAGCTAGTATTGTGTACAGACTATCTTACCCCCATACGTCCGAGCAGAACTGCATCATTGAAAGAAAGCACAAACACCTTGTTGAGATGGAACTTGTTTTACTTGCACAAACCTCCTTACCAATGGAATATTGGTCCTATGCTATAATTGTTGATGTGCAGTTGATTAATAAGCTTCTAACTAAAGTTATACAAGGGATTTGTCCTAGTGAAAAACTGTTGGGAAAGAAACCGAACTACAATGAACTGAAAGTATTCAGTTGTCAGTGTTTTCCCCATCTTCGACCCTTTCAATCACACAAGATAGCATTTCGCTCACAACTGTGTACTTATCTTGGCATCAGTCCTTAACATAAAGGGTTTTAGTGCCTTATAGCTGATGGGAAGGTTTACATCTCTCGTAATGTAATTTTTAATGAGAACTTGTTCCCTTTTGCAGATCGTATGACTGCAGTTCAGCCTCGTGTGCTTAAAAGTCAATAGTCACAATCTCTAGAAATTGTGACTAAAACACCACACGCAACTGGTCAACAAATGCTTCATAAAACGCTCCAGGCAGCACTGAACCAAATTCTCCAGTACCTCATGATATGGAAAATATGGACATGGAAGAAGATGCTGGTGAATCCTTGAGTGTGAATACCTCCACTGAACCAGCTACTGAACCTAGTCTTGAACATGGAATCGATGAAGTTGTGGATTATCCCCGTAACATGGTTACATCAAGTAATGATGAGCCTATTAATGAGACTCCAGCCATTGTTGATTCTGAAGCCCCCCTGGGGCTGTTGTGCCACCTATTAACATTCACCATATGGTCATAACGTGGCATCTTTAAACCGAAAACATATTCTAGCTACTTTGACGAGAATGTACTATCAACCATTGCTGAAGCCTTGAAGTCACCAAAATGGGCTGCAGCAGTCCAAGATGAATTTGATGCACTTCAAAGGAATAGAACCTGAAAACTTGTTGAGCTTCTTCCTGAACGAACAGCAGTAGGCTGCAAATGGTTGTTCAAAGTGAAAAGGAATCCATAAGGCTCAGTGCACAGACACAAAGTATGACTGGTTGCAAAAGGGTTTTCCCAAGTGCCTAGTCAAGATTATCTTGGCACATTTAGTCCAGTTGTAAAATTCACAACTCTTAATGTCGTTTTGTCAATTGCAGTAGCAAATAAGTGGGAACTAAGGCATATTGATATCAATAATGTCTTTCTTAATGGAGACATACAAGAAGTTGTCTTTATGAAGCAACTACCAGGGTTCGAGCAGCCTACTGCTGATGGCACTCCCCTTGTTTGCCATTTACAAAAAGCATTGTATGGACTGAAGCAAGCTCCTCGCAACTGGCATGCCAAACTAAAAGATGCACTACTACATATTGGATTTCAGGTGTCTCGAGCTGACACTTTCTTATTTTTTATGTGCACGGGAACAGAGTTTGTATATCTTCTGGTTTACGTGGATGACATAATCATTACTGGTGCTTCTACGCCTATGATTTCCAATATCATACGCATGTTACAAAATAAGTTTTCCCTTAAAGACTTGGGATCTCTCAGCTACTTTCTGGGAATTGAGGTGAAACGAAATAATGGAACTCTAATGCTTAGTCGAAAGAAGTTTATCTTGGAGCTTCTGGAAAAGGCTGACATGAGCAATGCTTCACCGTGTGCCACACCCATGATCCCTTCCTCTAAGTTGTCTGAGGATGGATAGTTACTGACTGATGCTACTATGTATCGGTCCATTGTAGGATCTTTACTGTACGTCTATCATGCCAAACCTGAGCTTGCCTTCAGTGTTGGGAAGGTATCCCAATTTATGCATAAACCTCGAGAAATACATCTAGTAGAAGTAAAACGCATCCTAAGGTATCTCGTAGGAACTGTTGAATTTGGCTTGGTTTTTTTACCTGCTAGATCAAAATTTTCAATGCCAGCGTTTGCTTATGCTGATTGGGGTGCAAATATTACTGATCGTCGATCGATTTCAGGGTATGGAGTGTTCCTTGATAATCATCTGGTTGCTTGGAGTTCGAAGAAGTAAAAGTCAGTCTCTCGCTCAACGATGGAGGCTGAATATAAAAGCCTAGCTGATGCTACTGCTGAAGTTACATGGGTGAGTACTTTGATAGCCGAGCTTGGCCTGAAGTAGCGTGTGAAATCTGTGATTTGGTATGATAATACATGAGTTGTTGCTATAAGTGCCAACCCGGTTTACCATGCACAATCGAAGCATGTTGACCTCGATGTGCATTTTATTCGTGAGAAGGTGGCTACTCAGCAGATGTGTGTCAACTACATTCTTGCAACTCATCAAGTGGCTGACGGCTTTACAAAGCCACTGTCTAGAGGTGCGTTTGAAACATTTCAAGCGAAGCTTGGAGTTCAAGAATGTGTCAAGTCAGAAGAGAAGAAGAGGAAAAAGTAGAGGGAATATTGGCATGATGAATCTGCATCATGCACGTGATGCTGCTTAGTTTGGTTGGTATTAGTTAAGTTGTTAGCTAAGGTTGTTAGTCAGGTAGTTTAGTTGTTAAAAGCAGTTGATAAGTCTGTTAAGTATATGCTTGCACCTTGAAGCTGTATATAAAAAATATCATCATTGTATTACCACTAAGCTTTTGTATATACAAAGAATTCAAGTATAATTCTTCCTTTCATTGAGTTCCTAACAGGGAGCAATTTGGAACGGTCGAGGAGAGTGGATTTCAGGATTCGCTAGAGAAGTCTTCCGGAATTTAAACAAAGTTATGCCGAAACTAGTTTCACCAACAATTTTACAGTACATCCAGGAGCTGCTAAACATATAATGGCTAGTCTCGTTTTCTTTGGTTGATCGAACAAACAATAGATTGACTGATTTTATGATAAAAATAACTCACATCGATGATTTTGGGGGTCAAAGTTTCTCAACACCCCGGTGGCTGTAGAGCCGATACTTAGTAAAGAATGTTTAGGAGTTAATAGCTAGAATGTTTTATGTCCTTATTTCACCCAAAAATAATAATAAGAAAATTCATTTCTTTTCATAATAATCTATGTACTAAATAAGAAATTCATTTCTCTTCTTTCAATAATTGATCACATGTTTCACACATGCATGAAACTAACATCCCTATGTTGGCACTTGCGAAAGCTTTTATATTTTTATGAAAAATCATTTTTATATGCTAATTTTTAATTGATATAATATAATTGTGGAAAATTATTTGATACAAAAATTTTATCTACTTTAATATCATTTATTTTATTTGAAATTTATAGTTTAATATTAAATAAAATAAAATCGTGCAAACTTACATAATCTATATATTATCTATATTATTAAAACAGAAAACATGGTGTGGTCTATTGTTAGTGAGTTAACAAAACAAATTCCAATGCCGACACTACAAAATAACAGAAAATGGTTTACCATTTATGAATGTGTTATATAGCATAATAATAATGTTTAATTGACTTTACATGACCCATAATAATTAGTAATATTTTGTTCTTTTATGTTGGGCCGCATATGCAAAAGTTGATTAAATCCGGCTTAAAATTTGACCAATTAATTCAGATCGGGTACTGCAGAGACGAGGACGACCCTCCTAACCCAGTTTATTCATTCATAAACGTAAGAATTCGAACCCCTAACCTTACTTAAAGGATCTAGTGTCTCATCCCACTAGATTTATTGGTAAAAAATGAATTATTAAATCATAAATTATGTATGTTTTCCCAAAAAGAATATATTATAATATACAAAAGGAGAAGGTACACCAAATTTAAATCGTGTCTTGTTATATATGATTATATTTGTGTTTAAAATTGCCAATCTGCAAACGTCTATTTATTTATGGTAAACTTTCTGTTTGATCACCCACTTATTGTTTAGCTTTTGTTTTAATCACTCAACTATTCAATTTTCAAAATCACATTTAATGTTATGTTCTGATTCAATTTTGATTATCCGTCATTAAATAATTAACGGTAATGTTGATATGCTACTATAAGTTAATACCACGTCAATATTGAAATAATAATAATGAAAAGGAAATGTCAAATCTACTAGCAAGTTTTTAACGAAATATGACCAAAACAGAACTAAAATTTAATATTAGATATATTTTTAATAATCAAATGACAAAAATAGAAATTAGATATATTTTTAATAACCAAATGACAAAAATAGAAATTAGATAATAGGGGAGTGGCCAAATAGATAGTTTACCCATTTAGTTATTGACAACTTAAATGAATCAATCAATGAATGAAAGATGGATCAAGATTATCTGTTACCAAGTTATTTAAATATATATTACATTTAATAAATTTGTTTTGTAGCTAATTTTATGATATAATATAAATGAATAGTTCACCACGTGGTCAGGAATCCAATGCCTGCGTCGTTCTTGACACCATTTTCTTTCCTCCTCCGCGTTTACTTTAGCTTCATCCAATCCCTCTTTTCTTCTTGTTTTTAATATCTTTCAGTTTTCTTTTTTTTTTTTTGTTTAATGTGAACCCATAGTTTTTATTTTATTTTTTGTTTCTTTTAATCCTTTGTTATTCCTCGTTTTCTGTTGTCCTTTCGTGCTGCTGGTATGGCCGGTGTTGGTTTAGGTAGTGCTTCTCGCTATGTTCATCAGCTTCAAAGACCATGCCTTCACCTCCAATACCAACCCGATCCGGAAGAAAACGAGGATTCAAACAACCGTGCCGGTGGTGGTGGCGCGTACCAAGACGACGGCTCTTACCTGGGCCTGGACTTAGTCAACTCGAATGACCTTGTATCCCGTAGGTCACGAGGCCGTCCTCCTAGTTCCAAGAACAAACCAAAGCCTCCCGTCATCATTACACGGGAGAGTGCAAACACGCTCCGAGCACACATTCTTGAAGTCAGGAACGGCTGTGATGTGTTTGGCTGTATCGCCAACTATGCTCGGAGAAGGCAGAGGGGAATCTGTATATTGAGCGGGAATGGTACGGTGACCAACGTGAGCATTAGGCAACCAGCTGGAGCCGGAGCTGTGGTTAACCTTCAAGGCAGATTTGAAATATTATCACTTTCGGGTTCGTTTTTGCCACCACCGGCTCCTCCGGGTGCCACCAGTTTGACGATCTTTTTGGCAGGCGGACAAGGGCAGGTTGTGGGAGGAAACGTGGTCGGGGAACTGATGACGGCAGGGCCTGTTATTGTTATAGCTTCGTCGTTTTCGAATGTCGCCTATGAAAGGTTGCCCTTGGAAGAGGATGACCAGCTGCAGCTTCAAAGTAGCGGCGGAGGTGGGGATAATAATATGTTTTCTGACACGGAAGGTGGCGCTGGGGGTTTGCCCTTCTTCAATTTGCCTGTCAATATGCAACCTAGTCATGTCCAGTTTCCCTTTTGAGAAATTCGACGCAGTTTGCATTAGGAAAACATGGGATTCTTGGATCATAAAGGTCGGAAAAATTCATGGACTAGTTATCATCATCGTCCTCATCTTATGTTGATGTTAATCTTTGTTTTTAGCTCTTTTAGGATGAATCTTTGATTTCTGAAAACACTTCTTTGGCAGAAACTTTCTTTTCTCTGTAAGCAATTGGTTTGATGGTGTATCAACAGAGATCAACTAGGGTTTCCCCCCTGTCCTTATGTTCTTCATCTTCATATTCGTACAAGAATTTTTTGATCCAGTCTGCTGTGGCTAACTAGGATTTTGAACTGCTTTTGGTATCTCCAGCTTCTTATGAGGATTGATATTACATTTCATAAACAAATTATATCTCATAGATGTCGGTAAGAGAAATTAGTAAATAGCTAGGGTTTAATTAAAAACTTTTCAAACATCACATCGCCCTTCATCTTCATTACTCATTAGTTAGTTTATCAGTTGGGTGTTCTATTGATTGTGGAATTTAAACCATATTTTCTAATGACAATTTATTCTCTACGTTATTTCTTTTAATTAGTTTCTTCGACAGATAGGTTACATGTATGTTTACATGTTTTTAATTAATATATATGTTTAATTCATGTTATTAAAAAATAATTTAGATATTTTATATATATTATGAAATCTCACTACCAAAAAATTTATATGTCTACATGGACGTGATAAACTTGTTACCATCTACAACTGGTACGATGAGTGCGAATAAAATCTCACGACCAAAAAATCAGTCGAGATCTATCTCGAAAATTAAAACAATAACTTTTATTTATCTTGTGTTGGTAAAATATATATTGTAAAACGGAAATATTAGTACTCACTGTATAAAATAAAATTAAACAAGAAACTGAACAACTGTGTCGTGGTATAACCACTACCTTTGAAACGAATTCATCTCGATGTATGTAATTGTTACAATAAGTGTTTGTCACAACCCCAAATAAAAATAAAATAAATTTTAAATTTAATTTGGTTTAAAATTAGGGGTCAAATTGCAAGTTTTTAAAACTTGTAATCTGTTTTAAAAGTTGTAGGAAAAATTAGGGACCTAACTTGAATTATTCTATTTTTTGTCGGTGTTGAAAAAAAATAAAAAAAATGGGAGTTGGTGGTTCAATTCGAACCCCTATCACTAACATAGGTCACCCATACCCTAACCATTTAGGCTAAGGTATTATTGATATTTTTAGGTAAATAGATTATCTAAAGCCTAAATCCGGTCATACCCCAAATATCCTCAAATTCAAACTCCAAAATCCCTAACTTCCTCTAAATCGCACCCCTCGTCAGCCTCCCCAAACCGTCGCCGTCCGACCACCATTCATTGCTCCGGCACTATCAATAGACTTGTCGTCGATTGGCAACCAAAGTCAGAGCATCGTCACGCCTTGAAACGTCTCATTTCGTCACGAATCGACAATTTTTCGTGTGACAGAAAACCCCTAAAATTATGTCGTTGCTCTCGTCGATCTAGTCGTCGTCGCCTCTCACAGCCACATTCGTTGGCTTCCCTGGCATCGTGCAATCGAAACCCGGTCGATTTCACTCCTCGTCGATGTGCCGCGTGTTGTTGTGAAATTGGATTGATTTTTGGCAAAATTGGAGTGTGTAGTTATTTAGGGAAGAATCGGTAGGTCAAAATGACCCTCTTCACCGTCGCACGCGCCGCCACGCGCCGGCAGTACGCGTGGGGCTCTTCAGCCGGTCCAGGAGCATTCTGGAACATTTTTAATCAGAAAGAACTGGTCCAATCAAATCGGTCTGAACTGAGTCAACTCGTTAACTTTGACTTGTTGATTTTGACAAAAAAAAGTCAAATTTTTTGAAAAGTCGTATTTTATATGTTTTGACGTCTTGAGTCCGAATCTGAAGTATGTTTTTCCAAATTCAAACCCGAAAACCTCCGAATTGACCTTCAAACTTGAGCATGCATATGTACTTAAGTAATTTAGTTACGAATAATTAAATTAAGGTTAGATATTGATCAAATATTATTATTTGAAGGTACACAAGACTCTCCCGATCGCTCGACAGCTCGACCCAGCTCCTCTCGATCCGTTCGACCTCGTGCGCCAGTGGTTACTCATATGACCAGTGAACCTTATGAATACCTAGATTAAAATATTACTTCGATATTAACCCAGTTTTATTATGAATTAGGTTCGAGTATTGTTGTAGAGCGTGGTGAACCAGGTGCCTAATAGACACCCCGACCGACCCCATTTTGCGAGGTGTATTCCCTATGTGCTACATAGGAATTCATGGGACCCAAACTCGACGGGTTCCGACCCGGTCAGGTTGGGCTTCTTTTAAAAAAAAAATTGGGTTCGGATTGGGTCAGGTTGGTTTTTTTAAAGGTGATGTTCGGGTATGGTCGGGTCGGATTCAGGTTTAGGGTGAAAATACCCGACTTGACTCGACCTGAAAAAAATATAATTCTACCTTATATATTTAGGAATAATTACAATAATACCCCTCTATATATTATTTTTTTTCAATTAAATCACTGTTTTCATTGAATAAAAATAATATTTTTCTTATTTCGAGTCAATTCGGATCGAGTTCAGATTTTATCTCAAAAATTCGGGTCGGTCAAGTGAAGGATGTAAAATTTCCGGGTCGGATCGGGTCCCAAACCCGACCCATGCCCATCCCTAGTGCTACATGACTGTTTTATCTGGTTTGAAATGTGTTTCACCGAAATTTATGACTTACTGATTTACTAGTTGACGGCTTATGGACTATGGTTGAATGATATATGTTATTTGATTATTTGTTTTCACTAGAAATATGATTATGCCGATTATGGATCATAAAATTTACTACTTATTATGTGAATTGTTTTATTCATATACTGATTTGGGTAGGATACTGGAGTATGTCGGTTAGCTTTGATCAAGTTGGTAATACCTTACGGACCTAAAGCGACCCTTGGGTAGGCTCCGAGGCCCCCAGAACTTTCTTGGGTAGGCTCTTAGGCCCCAATGTACTCCCTTAGAATGACTCCTATACCCAATGGGTATGAGGTAGCGCTTATGGATGCTCCTTAGCTCCCATTTTGGTGTAGGGGAGGAGGGTAACTATGAGTTTTAAATTCAACTTATCGATGACCTTTACGAAACCTTACTGAAACACTTATTGATTATTTTATCTATTATGTTTTATTTGCACTACTGGGACACATTGAGCTCTCTTGCTCACCCTTTTCAAACTGTTTCCCCCCTTTCAGATACTTTTGGATAGTCGAACCAAGCACTTGTAGGATCGACACATTCTTACATAACTTTTTGTTGTAACGTTTCTATCTTCCGAATTGCTTTATTTACGGTGGCATGTGTCTTTATTTTGAAATACTTGTTTTTATGATTTTTACTGCGATGTGGAATTATGATGTATTTTATTTTATTCAGTTATTGACGGGTTGATATTTACTCGATGAAATTTTTATCGTGTTTAGCTATGTGTTTTTTTTTGTTAGATATTGTTTATAATACGGTTTTAAATTATCAAAAATTGAAAATTTTATTGTAATCCACTAGTTCTAGTCGTAACGTATAAGCTGGGTCTAGGGAGTTATAGTGTTCGTCTCCTAAGATTAACATAATATCTCTAGGACGCATGTACTCGAAAACCAAAGTGACAAACTCTGATATTCCTCTTCTCTTAATATCGGAAAAGGAATAAAAAAAGTTTCAAAGTTTCGTAGATAGAAAAGAGGTTTTTGAAAGCAAAGTAATATGGTTGGATGATATTGAAAAGTTGAAGCTATTTATAAGGTTTTATTTGAGGTTAAAAACGTTAACAAAAACGAGTCATAAAATTTAATTCAGTTTTCGTAAAAACATGTTAATCTGATAGCTATAATCACTTGGTTGTAACCAATTGAACCGATCCTTAAAGCTACATGGATTTATTCTAGTAGTAGCTGCTATAAAAAAAAGTACGAATTTTTTTAAAAAAGATAAAATGCACACGAACGTGTTGAATACACACATTATCATAACATTTAGTTAAACCTAAACAGTAACAGTACATGCATGTGACATCACCTAATAAATTAGGTCTTAAATTCGAATTTTTGTGTATGTAAAAAACTCTTGCCGGAAGACTCACCCGTTAAAACTAAATGTGCGTCACGAGTCAATTTAAATTAATCGAGAAAAAGCCACAAGATGAGGGAAAATTTCCCACCTCGCAACCGAATTAAAACAGTTGTAAACGACTTGATTCAAACAAACTAATTCAAAACATACAAGAACCACACAACATACAACAAGGGCATTTAATTAAAAGAAAAACTTGCTCGAACTGATACTTGAATTGACCTAATTAACTAGTTGCCAGAAACATTGAAATCTATATGAAATACAGTGACATCATTCTATAAAAAAATTGGTGAAGAAACTGATGGAATGAGGAAAGAAATATGAGTTTTAGTTTAATATAAGATGCAATACTTGACACCCCATCACAATCAAAAACTCATAAAATAAAAGCTATAAATGGCAAATATATTATTTTTTAATATTTTATTTAATATTAATTTTAGTTATTATTTTTTTATTAGTGTATTTTAATCTATAATATTTTATTTTTAAATAAAATATTTATATATGAATGTAAATTGTTAGCCAACTAATAATTAACACTTTAAAATAATATCTTTTTATTCTAAAATAAAATACTGAAATCGAAACACTTATAAAAAAGAATTAATATAATTATTTAGTTAAACATTAATAACTTTTCGATCTTAAAATAAGACATTATAGATTAAAATGTTATTAAAAATAAATAAAGATTATAATAGGGGGATTTTTTTATCATTAGGCGGAAGATAACTTAATTAGCCCATAAAATTGAGTAGCTGCAAGATGTTCGTCCGGCGAAACTTGAAGGTCTCTCCGTGTAAACATGGCTGAATTAAGAAGAATAAGAAGATGAAAGGGTAGGGGAGTTTATGAAGAGAGAAATTCCGCATTGCTTCTGTTTTTTCATTATATATAAGTTGAAATTAGTAAGAGTATAGAAAAACAAAGATTAGAGGTCTAATAATCTTGAGCATAGAAGTCGATAATCTCCTCGAGATTAAGCTGAAACAAAGAAGAACGATCGTTGTTCATCAACCAAAGCATGTGTTCAAACAATATATCATCCACGTCCACGAATATCACCTTCTCCTTCTCCCTTCTTCCATCCATTACTCCCTTCTTCATCGTCTCAATCAAAACCCTGAACGGACTTTTCTCCAGCACAAAAGAGTCCACCAAAAATTCCCGTTTCTGTTTCCCGACGACCACTGTCACCTGCGCCTCGCCACACCCATCCTCCTCGCTCTTTAGTGGCCTGTAACCTAGCCGCGATCTCATGCTGCTGCGCTTTCGCAATAAACAATCGGGCAATACCAAGCAATCCATGAACAAAAGCAAGTAATAACCCAAATCTGAAACTATGTTAATGGGGTTGATCTTGATATTGGGGATTATAGGTAGGGAAATGGAGTATTTATATGAATGTGAAAGTGAAATGTGATTGACAAGTTCTTGGGGTTGAATAAGTATATGAATGTGAAAGTGAAATGTGATTGACAAGTTCTTTGGGTTGAATAAGGCCAAGCAACGGCTAGAGAGAGAGAGAGAGACAGAGCCAGAATCAATGTGGAGTATTTTGCTGGCCAAAAGAGCCGTTGCCATGTCCAAGTACAAAGCTTATCTCTTTGGTATTAGGAGTTGGAATAAGACATGCCGGATTCAGCAAACTGTCACACTCAGTCACCGGCGCGTGTTTTTTCAACTATCGGTATTTAGGACAAGTTCTGCCGCTACGCTACGTTTAATTGCCTTCTTTTTCTGGTAATTGCATTGCTTAGAATTAAAGTTCCATTTTTTCCCTTTGGGTTCAAACCGGACGACATGATTAATGATGAAAAACGTTACTTTACTATCTTATTGTATTCATTAACAGCTGATAGAAAAGTTAATTCATTGGTTTTTGTTCAGTAATAGATTACTTGGCAGGTGGAACCGACTTTGGTGTAAAGCATTGCAACATGAAGGCGCGTGAAGGAAATACAATTTTCTAGTATCTTACGGTGAAAGGACTTATCAAGTCCCTTTGTTAAAGGGACTATACCAATTCAGTTCCTATACTATTAAATGGATCAATTTGATCTGTCTATTATAGAGTGGTTATTATAGGGATTGGTCCACGTTAGTCCTCTATGATTAAATGAATTAATTGAGTCAGTCCCTACAACAGGGGGACTTGATAGGAACTTTCACCAATACCTTACCGACATCAACATGTGTGATCTCCGAGTAGGGCGTTGCCATCGAAGTTATTGTAATAATAATAATACTAAAGGTTTCCTTCACGAAACATACAAAGTCAATAAGGTCAAGTAATAAAGTAAAAGCGAGTGCGGCATTTCATCGAACATCCTGCCTTCATGACAAAATGTAGGTGAAATTCTATTTCCCGTAAACTTTGCAAGGAGACTTCTTTGTTCTCTCTTCAATATGTGAACTTTCGTGTTAGGAACCCCCAATAACACCGGTTTGCATGAGACTCGGTCTCAGTTACTAATAAATCGGATATTGATAATTAGAAGAAAAAAACTAACGGTTTCAATAGCCTACATATGACATCAACAACTAATGCGAAAGCAATACATCATCTAATCATGGCTCCCAAAATGGCGGTGATGACATGTTTCCCATAAGCAAAATACATAAACTGAAGCAGGAGGTGGATGGTGACAACAATTTCCAGTATGGAGGACTACACAAAAACATAACTGATATGGCTTGATCTACGATGAAAATGATTTCTACCATTTCTAATCTTTAATGCATATGTTAGGATTTGGAACTGTTACGGTAAGAACAATCACCGAGTCAGCATCCCGATGTGCTCTACTTTTTTCAGTTCCGAAGCATCTTCATTGTTGACTCTGGTCAGTCCAAAGTTGGTACATTTGCACATTGTTGTTATGGATTGATGGAGCAGAATTGGCGTAGAAGTCAGACCCTCGATTAATAGGGCTACCACCATTCTCGTCAGACGACTCGCTTGTGCCACCTTGCGAAGGAGGGCTACATGTCATCCCTGGAGCTCCGAAATTGAGCATGTTCGATGCTAGTACGGAGGACGGTCCTGTTCTGAAAGCATCCGAGCTCTGTTTTTTTCCATCGGCAATAAAGCTGCCAACAATGACCTGGCAGTAGATAGAAAGAAGTCACAAAACCAGGAATGAAGTATATTGATATCTTTGTCTTAACCTGACAATATGCCCAGATGCTTATCCACCAACAATGGTTGTCTGAGATGCAAAAAATCTAAATTCAATCAAGCCTCGATCTAAAACCACTTAATGATTCTGAGATGTATATGTAGCAAAATTTTCAGCATATACAAATTAGTAAACAGAGAGATACCTGAACTGGTGATGCTGCCCGTAGCATCCCTGCAACTCCACCACCTAATACTCGACCATCGGATCCAGCCAAGGAGACACTTAAACCACCACTCCTGCTGCGACTACCGTTATTTTCAGAAAGCAAGAAGGAACCTGATAAAGAAATAATTTCAAAGCGGCCCTGCAAGTAAAAAAATGATTCCATATTTAAAATGTGTTGAAAATGATCAAGGAAAAACAAATCAAACTGCTAAAATTGTGTATAATTGCAAAGCAGCCAACATGCTAGCTCAACCATTCCCCCCCCCCTCTCGAAACCTTAGATAAGCTAGCTAGTAGGGGAAGGGTCCAGACTAATAATTGTATACAAGGAACAAGTCCTTCTAGCACAACCCCACACATACAAAATTTGGATCCTTCCAAAAGCAGACAAATCTGTTCTCTTTTTCCACTATCATTCTGTTGTTTCACTGATCAAATTTGAACTATGAGGGTTTACATCAAAACTTTCGTCTAATTCAGGTAACACAATCAATAATTGCCTTGTTTTTTGACACTGAACCTCACTAAGCTAAAATGATGCAAGAGACGGATAGCAGTATCCCCTCAGATCTATATTAACATAAAATTAATGCATTGATGGGTTTTATTTTTAGCTTGGAATGGGATACTAACATGCAACAAGAAACTTATAATTCATTAAAGAAAGTTGTTTTAAAAATCAAATACAAAACATATAGAAATTATTCTTTTTCCTGTATAAAGGAAAGTAAAAAAAGTTTATACTCCAGCAGCGCTGGAAACATGGATACGATCTTATTCCTATTTCCTATCTAAGCTAAGGTGCTGAGAAGATGCATCTCATTCAAGCTTAAGTTTAGTTTAACAGATGGATCCTATATATTGATATTTGATATTAGAAGTACCTCGTATGTCACTGTACCACCAGACATTTCAGGTTGGCGTAGAGTGACATTAGAGATGGCACCATTTGCAGAGAGAATACACACTGTGTGCGGTCCTTGCTGTGAAAAAGCCATAATCTTTGATGCTACATCCTGTAAATGAAAAGGACATGAATTAAGCACTCTAAAGACGAGATCTGATGGTCAAGAACATTTGCAAAAGGAAGTCTTGCAAGTTTGTCGCAATGATATACTTTTTAAGCAGATCAACCTTTCATGGAATAAGACTATAAGAGTATTCATTTTGCCTCATGTTATTGACTGGAAGAGACATTCCATTAAACAATCAATGAATATTTACCCTTTGACAATAACAGAAACGGGAGAAGGTTAACTTTCAGGACTCAAGCTACTCTCCACATGCTCGTGCTCAATTCACATCGAGCCAACTTGCATTTGGAGCGTGCAAAAATACAGTTTGAGCTAACCATAATCACCATAAAGCCCACTTAGCTAGAGGATGAGCTGTTTTCCATTCAATCATCTTCTACAAACCATAATTCTAGAGTTTGAAAATATTCTTTTTGATGCAACTAGCACAAAGTATGGATGATTCCACTAACACAAGAGGTTTAAACAATTGAATTACAATTTAAAAAAAGACTTTTATCATTCCCAAATATAAATCAGACAAGGCCAATAATAATATCTCTCATCTTCATCTGAGAAGATAACCATTACGATTTCATGTAAAGGGAACTCACCTCGCCGGCTTCCACGGTGATCACGTGAGGCGTAAATCCCACCCCTCCAACTCCTCCTGCTCACAAAATAACCAAAGTCACAAAACTTACAAAAAAGAACATGACATAATAAGCAAATTGCAACTATTAGTTACCTAATGCATCCATCTGCTTTTTGGTAGAACCCGGTGGCCTTCCACGGTTCTTTTTAGCCGGAGGTTCAGATGCAGCACCACCAGCACCAGCACCACTATTACTCCCCAAACCGACGGATTCGCCTTCGCCGTGATTCGCCGTGTTAGAAGCAATCGGAGGGGTTGGTGCCAGTTGTAAAAGTGCAATGTTACCGTCGGGAGCATACTTTCTAGGCCTACCTCGCTTCTTCTTCACGGCCGGCTCCGTATTGTACCTAAACTGCGGCGAATCATCAAAACCGGCGGAATTCATAGAATCGAACGGCTTAGGATGCTGTTGATGTTGGTTCTGGTTTTGCTGCTGATGACGCTGCAGCGGCACCGGCGAAGTTAGTGAGTTGAAAGGGAAAGGAGGAGGCACGTTGGCCGTTGGATTGGAGTTGATCAAGGCGGAATTTGAAGGGTAGGAGGAAGATGTTTGCCCCATTAACATCGATTGTTGTTGTTGTTGCACCTGTAATCCTCCTGCCGGGCTTTGTACTCCTCTGGGTTCCATTTTCCCCCCTAAAAGAAATCTGAGTGAAACTGTGAAAAATGTGGGAGAGAAGAGAACAGAGGTTCGAGTTAAAGAGTTCGTGAGTTAACTACTACTAAAAATTGGAACTCAAAAATAAAGGGATGAAATTACACAACTGGTAAATCAACAAAAAATGCCCCTTTCGATTTTGGTTGAAACAAATGTGTAATTATACCTCCCCACCCTCCAACTAGGGTTCTTCTTTTCTTCTATGTTCACTTTATTTTCGTGGGGGAGTTGGGACTTGTTTTCCATTTTTTTTACTGTGATTTTAAATTGGATTACGGCTTATGAGAGGTGGGTTTCTTTTTCAAAATAATAGTAATAAATTTTAGGATAAGTACATAACTGGTCTAAGTTATAAAATAATTATTTAACTATAAATTATTATTTTATTAAATTTTTAGACCATTAAAAATTATAAAATAGTCACATAATTATTTATATATTTAAAAATTAATTTTTTTTAAAGATGACGAGCGTCTGAGCTGAACGTTAGCATGGTCATAGAAATATGATATAATTTGATTTTAGCATCGTTTGAACTATATTTTATAAAGCAAGTCTCTTTTTACATTATGTTGTTGAGTTAGTGCTTGAAACATTATGTCGTTGAGCTACTACTTTAAAGAAACGACGGTACTCGTAGACATCATTAAAATACGATTTTATCATATCTTAATGAGTATATTAACGTTCAACTCAGACGATCATCGATTTTTAACAGAAAATGATGAGTTTGAAACATATAAATAGTCATGTGACTATTTATAACTTTTAATAATCGAGAGACTCAACAAAGCAATATCTTATAATTGTGGATTATTTTACAATTTTTAATAATCAGATTACTCAACAAAGTGACATAACAAAGTGACATCTTATAGTTGAGAGACCACTTTTATATTTTACCTTTAATTTTATAGTAAATGAATTAAAAAATTTCTTAAACTATTGAAGACGTATATTCATCATGCAGATGTAATTATTTAAACATGAGCCATTTAAATAAAATACTAGAAATATTAAAAGTGAATAATTTATATATGTTTGAATTCATCTTCAATCGAAAGAATATAAAAATTATAAGTAGTTTAAACATTGTATAAAAAGAACATTTTATTATATCTAAATATTTTTAGGTGGCGTTTGGTTTGCTGGAATGTTTATGAGGGAATTGGAATATGTGAAGAAATTGGAATCTGTCAGGAATTGAAATCTAATTTCATATTTTGTTTGGTTAACAGGAAATGGAAATAGAATATAGAATTGGAATCCAATTTCATATTCTGTTTGGTTCGTAGACATGTCAGATGAATTTGATTTCAATAATGTAAAATGATAGAATTGCCCTTCTTATTTTTTTGCTTTATTTTAGTTTATTTTACAACTTACATATAGTAATATATTATAAAAAATTAAAAAATATTAAAATTTTATTTTATTGATTGATTATTCATTTTAATAAATTATAAAAATCATGCTAATAAATATCATAAGTTAAAATCATTGAATTCAAAATATGTTAATAAGTTACCAAAAGATAGAGCAATATTTCAATACATTTCAATCGGAGTATGTTAATTAGTTACTAAAAATATACCAAAAACTATTTTTATTCAATATATGAATTAGAAATCCGACCCGACACGATACAAAATAATAAAAAAATTATTTTTTATTCAATAAAAATATTGACTTAATTGAAAAAAATTATATATAGAGGGGTATTATTGTAATTATTCCTAAATATATAAGGTAAAATTATATATTTTTTTCGAGTCGGTCCGGTTTTTTTCACCCTAAACCCGAACCCGATCTAACCTGAATATTACATTTAAAAAAAACCGACCCGACTCGAATATCACACTTAAAAAAACCCGACCAGACTCGACCCGAATATCACACTTAAAAAACCCGACCCGAACAAAATAAAGTTTCAACCGACCCGACCCGAATATATGAATTGGAAATCCGACCCGACCCGACCTGAAATAATAAAAAATATTTTTATTCAATAAAAACAGTGACTTAATTGAAAAAAAAAATATATTGAGTGATATTATTGTAATTATTCCTAAATATATAAGGTAAAATATATATATTTTTCGGGTCGGGTATTTTTCACCCTAAACCCGAACTCGACCCGACCCGAATATCACACCCTAAAAAACGACCCGACCTGACCAAAATAAAGTTTCACCTGACCCGACCCGAATATATGAATTAGAAACCCGACCCGAAATAATAAAAAAAATATTCAATATATGAATAAGTTACCAAAAGATTGATGAGGGTAGTATGGTCAAATTTCAATTCCCTCCAACAAGAGAATTGAATTCTATCCATTCTTGGATGAAATTCACTTTCCCTCATTTGATGGAAAGTTGAAGCCATGATAGATTCCAATTCCCTTAGAAAATTTGAACCAAGCATGAGAAAATGGTGGAATTGGATTCAAATTCTCCTAATTTCAAGGGATTCTATCCTACCAAACGTCACCTTAGGAGTTCATAAATTATTTTTAAATTTAAAATTTAGTTTTATGGTTTTATTTGAAATTTAAAATGGTAATTTAGCAGGGCGGAAGCAAGCACTTGATATAATGTATATATATATATATATATATATATATATATATATATATATATATATATATATATGTAATAGTGGGAAAAGAAGGAAAAACAATGACTGTAATAATTGCGAAAGGATACCAAAAACGGTGGCAAAATGTAAGCATGGGGTGGCCTCCGCATGTGGTAGATATAACCTTTCACAGACCACGCCAATCTCGTAGTAATTCACGGATGCTTGCCTGTCCTCGAATACGCATGTAATAATAGTAATTTACGGTGAATATAATTGAATTAAATTAAAATTTTAAATTAATTTAGATAATATAATATTATAAAATTATTTTTTAATTAAATTTAATTTTCTTTATTAATCTGAGATAAACATAAGACAGTTGCACAAATAATTCTTCATTATTTAACATTAAACGCTTATCCCGTGATATTTTTAATGTTTGAACTCGGGGTCTAAAGAATAACAACAATTTTTTTTTCACTGAACTCGCTTGGTTCGTACAATTAAATTTAATTTTACTCACCCTAATCATATCCATTTAATCATGATAAATATATCATATTCGATACATATTCAAATATAAATATATAAATATTCGAATTCGAATCTGAACCAACGGTTTAAGATTAACAACCAAAAACCGTGCCTGAAATTTCCCAGAACCGTGGGATAAGTGAGAGAGAGTGATGCTTTGAAATGGTATGTGATCATTGCAGTACAGCGCATTCGAAAGAGCTTTTGAGAACAAAGGAAAAAAGCAAAAGCAAAAGTCTAATGGAAAAGAAGATGTGTCGCCTTAGGTCAAACCAATATATGAACGCTTGAAATTTCACAACAATATTGGTGGGTTGAAAAAATAATTCAAAAGAATGTATTAAAGGCAAATGAAAAGTAGGAAAAGACCTGTTATCTGCCTTCTCATGCTTCTTGCGGGTAAAATTGTTCCAATAACGTGTATGGAGTCACTCGCTTATTCTCATAGTCCCGTTTTGGTCAACGTATTTAATATTTAAACTATCAGTTTTAATTATTTTAATATATAAATTTTTAATTTTTTTTAAAATCATATTTAACGTTTAATTTTTGTTTCATTTTAATAAACATCATTAAAAACTTAAAGAAACTATTACAACTTTTACACTTTTTTATGAGGAAATTACATCATTCATATCTTAACTATCTTCTCACTCATGCTTTGATTATTGAAGTTTAATTTTTTTAATTTAATTACTTAACTTTCAAATTACTCCTAATTTAGTCACTCTAACTTTTAATTTCAATTTTTTATTTTAATTATATACTAATAAAATAATAAAAAATATCATGTCACCAAATATTATTAATAAAATAAAATTAGAGTGATTAAAACATGAGTAATTTGAAAGTTGAGAATTTAAATTCAAAATTTTAAACTTCAATGGTCAAAATATGAGTGAAAATATAGTTAAATTATTAATGATGTAATTTACCTATGAAAAATATAGCGGACAAAAAGTTCCATTAAACTTGTAATGGTTTTGTACTAAAATGAAAAAAAATTAAACGTCAGGTATGATTTAAAAAAAAGTAAAAATTTAGATACTAAAACAGACCGAAACTGATAGTTTAAGTACTAAATACGTAGTTTAACCTTGATTTAATAACAAATTTGGTCTTTTAACTTTACATATTGTATCGTTTTAGTCTTGATTCTAAAAACAATTAACCCTCAGTCTCTACTCATCGTTGAAAATTGAAACCATTTGTTCAATTTTAAGTTGGAGAATATTCCTGCCTCGAATCAGACATGTTATTCATACTGAAAAATAAAAGTTTTAGATTTTTGTGATCAAAGTACAGACTATCTAAATATTTAGTGACCATTTCTGTAGTTTACACAAACAGTTAAAGTCCCCAGCAAAAGCTAGTTTCTGTAGTAAATCACGTTTCTCCGATCGTGTTTTCTAGTTTCCCCAAACATTTATCTCTCTTCCACTTTCGCCATCGCTCTCGACGAACTATAGATTTCTTTTCTTTGCTCTCCTGATTCCGATTTGCATAGCTTGGCCCTTCCGGTTCAGTTATCGATCGTAGTTGATCTTTCATTATGCGCTTCTTTAGAAGAATAGCGGGGTTTTTGGGGTTCGCCAGAGACGATGCTAACGAAGTAAAAGACCAAGAAAACGACCATAAAAGCGATAATGAAACACCCGGTAACCGTCCCGTTTTTCAAGAAACCGGCCTTCCTCGAAGGGGTTTTAGCTTCCCTGTTCAAGTCGCCGTCGATCGTTCCCAGCCCGGTCCCGTCCTTCTCCTCTCCGCTTCCGGTAAAGGCGGCGTCCAGGTCCATCCCAGTTTCGTTCGATTTATTTTCTAATGGTGTTTTTCCCTAGTTTCCAAATTTTAAGCTGTGGGTTCTTGATATAATGGTAAATGTAGTTAGTACTTTTTTTTGTTGTTATGAGTTGACTTCTGTGTAGTAGAGTTACGCAGCTTAAAGATGGTTTTCTGAATAAGAGATTCAGTGTTGCTAGTCATTTTTGGTTCAGTTAAGCTAGAAACCAATGTTTAAGCTTTAATAATTCGGAATTAAGTGAGGGAGAAGTGACGTTGAATCGTGTAGTTAGGTTGTTAAGAGCTTGAGGTTAGCTTGGTTGAAAGATTTTTTATACTAGAATCTTTGATGTCCTTGAAGACAGGACCTATCTGATAGAGGGTACTTTCAGGCCAGATCATATTCCTTATATAATTTTTAACTGGGTTTGGTGCTATCTGGCATCTTCTAACTTCAGCATTGGATTTCCATCCAAGATTGCTACTTGAATTTTTCTGGTACATCTACTGTTAATGAAATCAGTTGGCATGCTTGATTGCTGTTTTAAATCATGATGGAGTGGAGTTTCTAATGTTTATATCAAGTAGGCTGTTCGAAATTTAGTCATTTTGAGTCAATTCTCAGTTGTCCTCCACATTGTTGTCTCTGATGTTCATGGAAAATCTGCAACGATAGATCAGATCCTATTGTATTTGATGGCTTGAAGCTCAGGAAGATGCATTCTAATGCATATTAGACACAACCGATTACTTTTGTTTAGCTTATGTTTTTATTATCAATTCTTTATTTTGATCCCTTTTCTGTCTTTTGTTTCTCTTCATTTACTAAAAGATATAACTTCCCTTCTTTTTTTGCTTCCCTCAAATTCCTGTCTTGACTTATTGTTCAATAAATATGGGAGTCGTTCTAGAAAATCTCTCTGGTTGGGGATGAATCTTTGGTGGTCGGTTTCGGATTTCCATCCTCCCCCCCCCCCCTTATCAACTAGATATAATGTTATTCATGAGCAAATCTGTAGTCATCCAAGCACGTGCTAACTTATTTGTTTTCATTTGTCCATATCTGAATTCTGATCTAACAAGTATTATATTTATGGATAGAAGTGTTATATTGTTATTTTGTTCCATTTTAGAATTAGGAATGGACTTTCTTGCTTGTGAGTGTTTCTTCTAGCACAGTTGTTATTACCTTCTTTTGATGGTGGTTAGATTTAGTTTTAGAATTGGTAGAAAACTAACACTAAGACATAAGTGATTTGCAGGACATGACAATGCTACAGGAATTTGTGTTTAAAAAACATGTTGACATGTAAATGTGAAGATGTTATTTTTTTCCTTTGCAAGTTGATCTTGGGTTCACTTTACCTTTGGATCAAAATCTGTCACATTTTGGACGTTGGTTAAATTTCTTTTATGCCTAGTAGGTGAATTAAAGAAGTAGATGGAGAGGGTGGCTGAAATTCAACTTATTATTGGTGCTGTTTCTAGCAGTGAATAACATTATTTACCATTGATCACTTCATATAAGCTTGAGACAAATGAATGTCCATGTGGAAGTTGCAGTAGCTTTTATTGGTACGGTGTTCAGTTCTAAGAGATAGGTGTATACCAGGCTGTTGGTTTCATTCATTGGCCGCTTCTGAGCATTACTTTCACATATAATAAAATTTTCCCCACTTTCGGTTGTGTCAACCTGCCACAACTACTTATTTTATCGCGTGTCTTCATCAGGCATGCTTCAAGTGGCAAACATTTTTGTGTTGAATTTTCAATTCAGGGTTTGAAATGGTATGCAAAGCGTCTTAGGATCGATGAAGATGGAGACGTAGCAGATGAGTTACTTGATGAAGTCTTTCAGGAAACATCAGGTGCAGCTAGTGAAGAAAATGAGCAGAAGCCATACCCCAAGTTCGTAGTGAAGTACAGTACAAGACGAGCTAAGGTGACGACTCAGGTGATGTCCCATGATGGTAAAATCCAGCAGTGGGTGGAGTATCAGGGAAGACTGAAATGGGTATGATTCTTGGGTCTAGAAAAACCTGTCACCATTTTTTAAAATAGATTCTTCCTTTTCATTGTTCTAACTTCTGCATTTGACTGTATCAGTATCTCAGAGTATTTATTTGTTTAGGCTTTTAAAAATGCCGGCTCTTTCATCAAAGATCCAAGTCGTCCTGTATAGATTTTCTTTTTTCCCAACTTTGAGCTTTGCTAATCGGATGTGGGTAAAGAAATTAAAAATCTAATATATGAATTTATCGCCCTTTTAATATGTATTTTTTAAAAATATCTAATTTGACACCTAAATTTGTCATTTTTAATGTCAAACTTTTATATATATATATATATATATATATAGAAAATAACCTCAGTGACTGAAAATGTCTTATAATATACGATTTTAACTAATTTTTTTTGAATTTGCGAAAATGACAAATAAATTCGCAACGCATTCTCAAATTTGTAAAGCGAACTCTTATTTCCCAACCCAGTTTCCAAATTTGTAAGGCGAATTTGTAAATCGTAATACAGAAGGCAAATTAGCAACATTGAATTTCAAATCCGCAATTGAATTTCAAATTCGTAACTCGATTTTCGAATTCGCAACAGGTTTTAGTTTCGCAACACAAATGTTTTGGGTATATAACTATGCAGCAGCATCAACTCATAACCTAAATCCCTAAATCACAACTTATTTCATCTCCATCTATCACTCTCTCCGGCGACATCCGTTCCTATATCCAACGACATCATTTCTCATCTTTAATTTTTTTTTACATAATTTTATTTCTATAAAATTTTTCAATGATTTCTCTCTCAAATTATCAACTATCAACTTAATAAAAGTATGTTTTTTCTCTAAGTTAGTGTTGATATCTAGTTTATAGCTCGTTTGTTTAATAAATTAATTTACAATTTGTAGAATGAAATCATCTAATGTTGATCATGTTTGGATAGATTTGTGTTTTGGATGGTCATGAGAGAATGTTCATGGTGTTTTACAATATGTGCCTTTACTCATGAATCTTCAACTAAAACTGTCATTAAAAAAGTTAACTTATGAAACTCTAATGTTACGTATTGCAAAGAAATTGAATTTAGAGCATCTAAGTGGATTTAAGCTACTTATCAGAAAAAATGTAAAGTTTATTCGTTAACCAACAATGAAGATGTTGAACGGTTCATTGCTTACATTAGTGTTTCGCAAGATGATGTTACATTGTATGTTGTTGAACCTAGAAGTAGTGAAGTTGGGTTAGTAGCGGGTAGTAATCAACTCAGTTCTTCAACCCCAGTTTATAGTGCTCACAATGTACAACGTTATTATCAACCTCAAAATTTAATGGTTCCACCACAATTTCATCACCAAGAAAATTTTGTTTCACCACATTTCCAATACCAAACACAATCTCAAAACCCACAACCTTTTCCTAATCCAAATCTCAATCAACTTTCAGCACTAAATTCCGATTTTCGTATTGACCAGTTAGACGATTATGAGCCAACAAAAAAAATTGTGAGTACTAGTCAGTATTCGAAATTTGATCTTGGTCAATACCCGGACTTTGATCTTTATCAATACTCGGATTTTGATGATGTTTCAGAAGAAGAAATAGACCCTGCGTGTAATGATTTTGATATTGGTCAATACCCAAATTTTGATGATGAAACAGTCGCTGCTTAGGAAGATGTTGTTGATGATAATGAGGAGGAAGTTACGATTGTGAATGAACATGTTGAACATCCATTATGTAATTCATAAAACCCTGAAGAAGAAAAAGAAGAAGTCCCCGAAGAAAAGAAAAAGAAGAAAATGCCACGGGAGTATAACTGGAATATGCCAGAATTACTTCAGCTACCGGAAGAAGAGTTGGTAAAGATAGCAGTTGATTGTTATACACAAGTTATTCGTATCAAGAAAGATGATTGTTTTGATACAAAGGAAGACTTGAAGATAGCTTTGTATATGAAATGTCTGGAAGATGGCTATCAACTAAAAGTTAACAAATCAAGCAAAGATCGTTTCGAAACAAAGTGTATGACTGACAAAAACTGTATGTGGCGTATGATTGCAAGGAGGATAAAAGGTTGTGAAATGTTTCAAGTTAGGACTTTTATTGATAAATATACATGTTCAAGAACCCAAGTTTTTCCTCACCATAGACAGGCAAACAAAAAGGTGTTGGGTGGTTTTTTGGGTGAGTTAATGTTTTTGAATGAAAGGGTATATCGGGGACATGAAATTATGACTGACATGAATGCTCGGTTCAAGATTAGTATCTCATATTCTCAAGCTTGGAGAGCCAAATGTTATGCCTTGGAATTATTGAGGGGGTCTCCAGAAGCATCGTTTGCCCAACTGCCGGCTTATTGTCACAATTTAAAGCTGAAAAATCCTGGGTCGGTAACTCATATCAAAACAGATAGACATGAACGCTTTGAGATGTTGTTTATCGCAATTGGTGTTGCGGTCAGTAAATCAATATAATTTTGTTGACTCATTTTTGTTAGTTACATGCATTTCATATTTAAATGATTATATTTCTTGTGTATATTATTTTGTAGATTCGTTCGTTTATTACTTGCATGCGCCCAGTTATTATAGTTGACGAAGCACATTTGAAAGGTCGATACCTTGGAGTAAACTTATTAGCATTAGCCATGGATGCTAACAATGGGACACTGTCAATAGCTTACGGGGTTGCCAAATCTGAAACCTCTGATTCATGTACATGGTTTATGAGGTATCTCAGGGATTGTATAGGCCTTATTAGCAATCTGACAATCATATCTGATAAGGCAAACTCAATTGACAACGCTGTTAGAAGGTGTTTCCCAGATGCTTTTCATGGACTTTGTGGTGTTCATTTGTACAGAAATCTAAAATCAAGGTCTGATGGTATAAAAAATCACAAATGGACATACTGGAAGGCAGTAAAAGCTTATCGGGAAGTGGATTTTAATAAGCATATAAATTGTTTAAGACGTGTTTTGCCTCAATGTGTTTAAACACTAGAAGATGTCGGGTTTGAAAGATGGTCAAGAGTACATCAACTTGGAGCAAGATATGGTTTCATGACGTCTAATAGTGCAGAATCAATCAACGCTCTAAGTCGTCATTCCCGGAAATTACCCATTACTATGTTAATGAAGTTTTTTCGAGCCTCTATTCAACAGTGGTACTACAAGAAAAGAAACCATGCAAGTATTATTTCTTTAAATTCGTAACTTATCATATATTTTACTAAGTATTATTTATTTAAACTTACAGGAACATTGGAACGTCGTGTTACACCATGGACTGAAAAAAGATCACTAAACGTGTTGTGAAGTCAACGTCATGGAGAGTTGAACCATGTTCAAACACTTTGTTTGAAGTATTGTATAATAACTTAAATGTGCTTGCCGATCTAAATGCAAAAACGTGTAGTTGTATGAAATGGCAAACATATGGTTATCTGTGTGGCCATATTATAAAAGTTGCTCTTCATCTAAACCAAGATGATTCAAGCGCATACGCTATGGATTGCTACAGTATAGAAGTATATCAACAGACTTATGCCGAGATTGTCTACCCTATTCCACATCCTTCTGAGTAGGACATACCGAATGACTTACAAACAGTTTTGCCGCCAGTCATAGACAGCAGGCTACCTAGCCGACCAAAAAATCACGATCGTATACCGTCTAAAGGTGAAGAGAAGAGGATATCGACATGAAATCGGTGCAAGGAAAGTGGTCATATAAGGTTGATTTGTGGATCACCAGTGCCATCACAATCATCTTTTCTTCTACCAAAATATGGATCCTCATCAAAATCCAAAGCTCATATGGTGCCAAGCAAAAGGAAATCAAAATCATAATCAAAATCAAAATCCCAATCACAACCGGCTTCACCTTTTGGGACTTATTAACTTAGGTGATTTTTAAATGCAAAATTTGTATTATGTGTATTTTATGTGTGAATGCATACATTTTCAGTTAGACATTTATTAGTAACTTGAGTTTGAACATTGTTATGATCTGTTCAGTTGTTATCACTTATCAGATTGTTATCTTTTATCTTTTTGAATGTGTTTTCCTTGAATTCGCAACGCGAAAGTCAAATTCACGTTACGATTGTTGCGAAAGTTAAATTCGCAACGCGAAAATCAAAATCGCAAACCGAAAATTACAACGCGAATTTGACTTTCGCGTTGCGAATTTAACTTTAACGTTGCAAATTTGACTATTGCAATACGAATTTGACTTTCGCGTTGCGAATTTGACTATCGCGACGAGAAAATCGCAACGCGAATTTGACTATCGCAGCGAGAAAATCGTAACGCGAATTTGACTTTCGCGTTGCGAAAGTGTACCTTCAACAGTCTTTTTTGCCTTCAACATAATGCAGATTGAATTTAAACAAATCAACTTTTACAAATCAATGAAACAAGTAAAAAAGAATTCTTATTTACACATCAATTAAACAAATCAACTTTTACAAATCAACAAGCAAAAAATAATTCTTATTTCCTCAACAAATCAACTTTTATAAAGAGAACAAATCAATGTAAAATTCAATTAAACAAGGAAAAAAAAGTGTACCCCAGACAGTTGTTTATGCACAAATACATTAATTTCACGCAGCTCACGTCAGTAATAACCTACAGAAACCAAACATTTGCTCAAACAACACTTTCTACACATCTAAAACCAACAAACAACAAATTATTGAATTCTAGGTACTTAACCAAACATTTTCAAACCAACAAAGAGTATATATGTTAACAACACTTGCTCAAACTTACCAATTATTTATGCAAACTTTTAGCACGCGGATGCAGGTAGGCAACGTCTTGCATATATCGCTCGAGCCATAAAATACCGAAACCATAAGCCTACTGCAGCTCTATCTCTATCTGTGGGAGGTAGAAGGTGTTTACTTCCTGTCGTCAAACGCTCCAAGCACATGCATACAAGAGGACGACAATCCCCTCTGGCTCCCTCCGTTTGTTGTGGCGCGGTATCGTCTCTGATCATTGTAACTTTGAACTTTTTTGGCTTCTTATTTCCAGAATTAGTCCAATAATCAATCGCGTCCAAGTATTTAGCCAAATGAGAGCTCCATCCCTTACAAATAA